ATTTGCTCTAGTGGCTTGCATGGAAGCTATCAGAATTCTAATTGCTTTTGCATCTCATATGGAATTCAGCTTGTTCCAAATGGATGTCAAAAGTGCATTTTTGAATGGACTCCTTAAGGAAGAAGTCTATGTGAAACAACCCCCAGGGTTTGAATGTAATGAGCACCCTGAATATGCGTTCAAACTGGACAAAGCTCTGTACGGGCTAAAACAGGCTCCTCGAGCTTGGTATGAAAGACTGTCAAAGTTCTTCTTAGAAAATGGTTTTAAGAGAGGGAAAATTGACAACACTCTTTTCCTAAAGAAACGAGTAAAGAACCTGCTCATTATTCAGGTATATGTTGATGATATCATTTTTGGAGCAACAACTGACTCTCTGTGTGAAGAATTTCCAAAACTCATGGGAATTGAATTTTAAATGAGCATGATGGGAGAATTAAACTTCTTCTCAGGTCTTCAAGTAAAACCGTACCCAAAGGGTACTTCTATTTATTAGCAAAAATATATCAGGGAACTCCTAAAGAGGTTTTGTCATACCTCCTTTTTCCTACTACACCCATCGAGAGGGTATAATAAAGAGAGTTTTTCCACTTAAAGGACAATCGAAACGGGATTCATTTTATTTAAATCAGAGTCGCCACTTGAAGATTTATGGTGACCCAAGTCACCGGTTTAAATCCCGAATCGAGGAACGAATGACTCTGTTATACAGTCTGTGAATCAGAAATCCGGGTAAGGAATTCTGTTAACCCGGGAGAAGGTGTTAGGCACTGTCGAGTTCCGTGGTTCGAGCACGGTCGCTTTGATCCTGCTTGGCTTAATAAATTATTTAATTACTGATTTTTAAAGCTATGTGCATTTGTTTCTTTCACCGCTTTTAATTAGAAAATTATCTTGAAACGGGTTACGCGTACGTATACCCGCCCGTTTGGTGCGTCACAAATCATGTCACGCGAACGTGTCCATAATTAATAACGCTTAATTATTATTAGGAAAGTTTGAGCCAAAGTTGCGCGAACGCGTACTCTGGTTTTGTTTTTAGAAGAGTAGTCGTGTTACGCGAACGTATACGCAACCACACTTGGTATTTTAAACGGCCTTAAAGGATATTCTACGAAATATTTAGTTATTATTATTCTTTATATCTAGCCTACGGAATTACTAGAAGGCCATATGTGATTTTAATGAACTTACGTGAACTAAAAATGATTAAAAGCTTGTAACCTATTTTATTATTAAGAAAAGGTTGAGCGAAGTTGCGCGAACGCATACTCCGAATTAACTTAGGATCATGGTCATGTTACGCGAATATATACGCGACCACAATACTAGTCTAAATCGAACCTAAAGCAAACTATGAGTATTGTATTTTTCTTACTTGGAGATTATTGCTAACAAAATCAATAGGCACGCATACATCAAAAAAAATGCAACAGAAGAGATGTCTAAAGATAAAATGACTTTTATTTCCAAATACAATATTTTTCTTTATAAATCACAACGAAACTGTTAAACAAAACATAAAGCAAATTACCTTATTAAATTAAATCCATCAAAAATTAATGCAATAGCTAACCTTGTAATGTATTTAAAATTTGAACAATAACATCCCTAGTTGAATATTACAATATCAACTAATATATATATCTATATTATTGAGGGCCAATAGGCCCGGTGACGTGGCAAGCCTCAATACTCAGAAATTGTCTTTCCCTTTTACCTCAATTTTTGGAGGTTTTCTCCTAAAAAATTCCACATTTACCTCATTAATCTATTCCTATACTATAAGTGGGGATAACCAGGCAGCTCATGGTCAACATGTCTGCCTGGCCATCCGAGGGTAAAAAAGCCCAATTTATTTACTGCTGACTTTTGCTATTTTCGGTCCAACACGTGGAGCCCAATTTGACAGCTATTAAATCACCGTCTTACCAGACCCAACACTCACTGAAAAGCTCTATCTGCAAGCACCTCTTCTCTTCATACCTCTGCTATTCTTTTTCTCATCTTACGCTTCTTCTATTGATGATTTATTTCAGTCCTTGAGAATATGCTAGGTATTTGTGTTTTCTCCTGATTAGCGAGGGGATTCCTGCAGAGAAGGTGTAACATATTAATAAATTTTGTTCTCTAGGTGTTTGACAAAATTGTTCAACGAATCAGGTTCTGTTAGATTTCTTATGCATGCATGCTCCTGTCTTTTGATTCTCCGATTTCTATTATTTGTATTGTCATTTTGTAGTAAGGGACGTTTCTATGTACTTTCTTTTGTTG